TGTATTTATATATGTCTATATGTACATTTAATGTATGTCGCCCATATTTAAATTAATATTCACTAGCGTTTGTATCCATGTATTTGTATCGATGTAGGCCTGACAAAAACTGCTCAAAAGGTGCTAGTAGTAAACAAAAGCTGTGTTGATGAGCATATGCAGGGTGCCATAGCTTCTTAGACTGTTAAAAGTTTAGCTTTTAATTAATAATTAATTAACAGTTCTTATAAAAATGGATTACAGTTTATCTTTATAATAACGTTTGACTTTTGCACTAATAACTTATTAATGAAAATCTTGGCATTTTCATTAATATGTTATTGAGCTGTTGAGAAAGCATTCAACTTAACATTAAACATTAGAAGAGTCACTGTCAGTGTGTGTTGCCCTTAAAGAAAATACCTCATTGCCATATATAGGATGTTAAACATTGTCATGTTTACAGAGTCACACAATCTTGTATTGGTCGTGTGTGTGTCTGCATGTGTAAATATATGTATATATATATATATACACATGCAGACACACGCGTATGCAGTGGTGTGAAAAAGTGTTTGTCACACTTAAATGCTCATCAAATAGATTTAAATATTAGACAAAAATAACACAAGGAAATGCAGTATCTAAATGTAGGTGTTATTTCCTTATATACATATATATAAATATACATGGTGGTATGAAAGTGTTTGACCCCTTCGGGATTTCCTATTTTTTGTATGTTTGTCACACTTAAATGTTTCAGATCATCAAACAGATGTACTTTTAGACAAAAATAACAAAAGTAAACACAAAGTGCAGTTTCTTTAATGAAAGTGTTAAAATCCCAAACTTACATGGTCCTGTGTGGAAAAACGATTCCGGCCTCAGGACCTGAAAGACTCGCTGTGGTAAATGAAACAGTGATTTCTGCTGTCTATCAAAACAACATAAAGGAAATGTTGGGACATCTGTTCATGACCTGAAGCTTAGACGCTGTTGGGTACTGCAGCACAAATTAACCAAAACGTACCAGCAAGTCCACCTCTGAATAGCTTAAGAAAAACAAAACAAGTGGCCTATCCTGACCTAAATCCAATTGAGATGCTGTGGCGTGACTTAAAAAGGTGGTTCATACTTGAAAAACCTCCAGTGGGGCTGAAAAGATGAAATTCCTCCACAGTGCTGTTAAAGAGTCATTGCCAGTTATTGCAAATGCTAGATTGCAGCTGTTGCTGCTAAGGGTTGCCCAACCAGTTATGTGTATATATATATGTACATTTATTTTTGTGAGGTTGTCTGCTTTTGGCCTTCAGTGACTTCAGCAGGAATGTCACAGCTGTTACTGAAGCAGAAATGAAACAGAGTAATTGGAGCAGTGATGTGATTATCTGTGATCCTCAGTGAATGTGAAGAGGCGGTCCTGGTCCTGGCAGCAGTACCTAACTGAGCAGAAGGCTGAAGCTGCTCCGCTCACAGTCTTTACCGAGGTAACTGTCTACCTCACTCTCTGCCTCCTGTCCAATGCCCATTTAGAATCACTAATAAAGCTAGTGTACATGTCTTTAGACTGTGAGAGGAAGCCAGAGAAAAGAGGAGGGAGAAAGAGGGAGAATGTGCTGTTTTGGGGACAGCAGCAACAACAGCGTCAACTTCATTCCATTAACTCAGGCAATACTACACGTAAAAACAATTAGAGAACACTGACAAATTAAATAGCACAGTGGGGAATTTAACAGACCGAGAGGATTTTATTGGCCACTACTAAAACAGATAAAATAACATTACAGAGCCAAAACATCTAAAACAATTGAAGCTGGATCTGTAAACTTACACCAAGAACCTACAGACTGCTGAAACAGAAGTCAGTCTCTCAACAAGCATTGACAGAAAACTGGATTTATTAATACTAATACATGAAAAATGCAAAGAATTCTGCAATAATCTAGAATTTCCACGGATCCAAGTTCAAATCGTAGAAAATCCAAGTATGACTGTAGTCAGCTGTTGAACCTTTAACTGAACAAACTGAAACTGTCAATAAGAAAACTTGCAAATTAAGTTAACTGTGTTGTAATTCCTAATACACAGCATGAGAGACCGGCTGATAATTGCTAGAATAGCTGAACGCAACTGAAACTAAAAAAAAACAATCACCAGAAAATCCATCCATCCTTTTTCTTCTTCTTTTCCTCATCAGGGAGAGCCTGGAACCTATCCCAGCTAACATAGGGCAAGAAGCAGGGTACACCCTGGACTAGGGCTGCTCAAT